ATGGGGACTCACTGAGTTTTAACTCCCAAATAATGCTAACTTCCTCATGTGTGTCTTCACATAGAATCTCTTTGATGTTTATAAAGTTTTAAAAAATGCATATAAATATGTAGTTCTTATTATCTTCTTTTTGAGACTACTGAAAAACATTTCTGCCTTGCCTTCCACAACTATAACACTCCGTTAATGAGAAGCTAGAAGCCTGAACGATGGAGAAGAACTGAGCTATTCATAAGACACTGCCAGAAATGGGCATTGAAAAAGAAGCCATGACCTCCATGGGAATTCTACGGCATATACCATATCTACAGGTCAAAACCTTCTGTGGAACATCATAGGTCTCTCTGAATTTCTCAGACATCATCCTCTCTGTGTGTGATCATCCTGCTTTTTTCTGCCCCCACTGGGGTTCTAGACCAACATGCTTAGCCTCCATGCTGTATAAAATCAAACACTTCAAATAAAATCTGTGAAGTCTTTTTCAAATCAAATCCAAAAGAATGTCTCTAAGCTAGGACATGGAAACAGGAGATTTCTTTAGGCCCTTTATGTTTGTTTTCGTATTTACACTATCTATTGTTAGACCCACCTCATATTTGATTTTAGAAGTCATCAAGGTGTTTGATAAAAGATATCAAAGATGGATTCTATCAATTCTGTCCATAATTATGCCACTGGATTACAGGATAAGATTATGTCTGTAATCAAAGTTTTCTAGCCTATTAAAAAACATACGTTAATAAGAAGCTGACAGTTGTTATTATCTAACCATAGGTGATTATGACTAAAGGGGTAAACTAGCCTGTCATTTTTAATACCTTTTTCCCAATTAGGAAAAAGCCCGTTATCTATTTCTTCCCTGTGGCTTTACATAAGCATTCAAGGCTGCCCCCATAGCTTGAAATCAGCCACAGTGGAATAGTTACGTCATGAAAATTGTCAAAAGCTACAAATCAGTTCTTTATATATTTTCAGAGAGATAGTTATAAACATTTATCAGCATGCCACTGAAATACAACCTGCTGTCTATTTTATAAGCCAAACTGGGATGGCAATGAAGGAAGAGATCCAGGTTAGCTTCACTGATGAGGTCTCTTTCCTGGGCCCTGGCTATGCACATTTCAGAAGGAATTCAGAGCTCAGCCAAACAAGTAAAAGCAAATAAAAGACTCTTTACACATAATGAAGGCAGAGCGATTTGACAGGGATTGAGAAGAGGGGATAAGGCTGACTTAGATGCTGGTGACCTACTTTTAGTATTGTCTACTAAATCTCTCAGGGAAGTGTTTAGCTCTGATTATAAATATTAATTAGATTCCAATCAGAGTACTATTTAAAGGATCTGTGTTTCTTAGGGAGAAGCATTTCAGATAATAGATAGATAGATAGATAGATAGATAGATAGATAGCTAGCAGTGATATATATATATATCATATACATGCATAAGTAGCTCAGGTTGGTAATAAACTAGATGATTTTATGCTGTAAAAGAAACCCAACTACAAAATAGGTGAGTGAAATCACCCTATAAATAGACAGAATAAAATCTTTGCAGCTTTAGCAAATATATGTCTACTATGTATGGAAACGATCAACATTCTTTAAGGGTTTTTTTTATTGTTGTTATTGTTTTGTTTGTTTGTTTTAATATATTTCTATTGATTTCAGAAAGGAAAAGAGAAAGAGAGATGGAAACATCAATGATGAGGGAGAATCTTTGATTGACTGTCTCTTGCACACCCCTACTGAGGATTGAGTCTGTAACATGTCTGCAGGCCAACACTCTGTCCACTGAGCCAAACCAACTAGGGCAATGTTCTTTAGTTTTGTATGACATTTTCCTTGTTAAGCACATCATCAGCTAAACAAAAATATTTATAAAAACAGCATCCCTATGCATTTAAAACAAAGATCCAAAGAAGCTGATACCCTTTAAGTAGTTACTTCTTGAAATTCTTAAGAGTAATTTGAGGCAGTAAGCTGCTTGATATTATTCTGCACTGTGGGGAATGGAGTCTCAGGTTAGAGAATCTGCCCTAGTCCTTGAACTTGGTGCCAGCAAGATCTGGGAATGCTGAAAAGCCTTGAATCAGTGCCTGGGAGAAGGTGGAAGGTCTTTTTTCTTTTAACCACAATGCCAGCAGAGTAAGGAGTGGCATTGCTCACACCATACAGTCTTTACTGAGTCTACAATTGCTATAAGTCTAATACCAGAAAATGTTCTAAGCGTGGAATGTGTGAAGCATACACCACATCACTCTGTTTTGGGAGGAATGAGACATTCTTTTAAAACCTGTCATCTGAGTTCATCCACGTTCCTATTAAATTAGACACTGGGTTTTGTTGTGTTGTGTGTGTGTTTTGAAATGATAAATAAGAGGCTTCCTTTCCTTCTCTGGAAACACAATTCAACTGGGAAAGAAATTCCGTTTCTTAAAGTTCCTTATAGTTTAATACCCATGCTTAGATTCCTTAGTCTAAATAGAAAACAAAGGCAAATCTAGTTCATATTTAAGGCAGTTAGAAAAGGAAGCATATATAAAGTAGTCTAGGTCCAAAAAATGTACCACAAACACAAAAACAATAACTACTTTCATAAATTTATTTTTCAACATATCAGCCTTGGAGAAATACCCTGAGTTTAGGTTATTGCTGGCAGGTGCTCTTAATTAAGGAAATAAGAAATGATTAGAGATGGACAAGAAAGGCTGAATCAGGAAGGAAGTGCTATTAAGACTGACTCATCTAATATATAAAAGGCTAAGAGTGCTTCCTTCCCTCTGACTGGTAGCTATGATGCACACTGACTACCTTAGGGCAGATGCTCAATGCAGCAGCTGCCGTGACGTGCACTGGTCATTTAAAAATAAATTGCACCAGGAACCTGGCGCTGAAAAACCAACACTCGGCTTCCCCTAAGTGGGACACAGGCCCCGCCACCAACCCGGAGTGACACCCCACCAAATCGCAGCAAACCCTGCCAGAACCCATGGCACAAAATGCAGTCCACAGCCCAGCCCAGCCCAAAAATGGTCACTGTGGGTGCTGGGTAATGATGTCATTCAGCAATGCCCGGCTTCCTCTCCCTAGCAACTAGCCCCCTTGGAGTTTCTTCAGCTCAGGAACCCGATTTATTTTATAGCCAGGTGCAAACATTTTACAGTTTAACCAAATGTTTGTAAAGCATTTTCACATGCCTCATCTCATTTGAGCCTCACAGAAGTCCTGGAGTAGGTAGATTCTCTCTCATCATTGCTATTTGCCCTTTTTCTTCAATAGAAGTGTTAGAAATGAAAGAGAATCATTGATCTGCTACCTCCTGCATGCCCCCTACTGGGGATCGAACCTGCAACCTGGGCATGTGCCTTTGACTGGAATTGAACCTGGAACCCTTGAGTCCACAGGTTGATGCTCTAGCCAGTGAACCAAATCAGCTAGGGCAAAATGTCTCTATTTTAAATGTCATAAAGCATTAAATTGATAAAATGTAAGTCTTAACATTTGTTTTATATTGTACGGCACAAAGTATTACTTTCAAAATGGGTCATATTTTTAATTTCAGAGGAATTTTCTCTGCTGACCTTTAACAGGCAAACATTTTTTTTTCTATTTTTGAGTTTTCACCAGTATCAAATACTAATTTTATTGTCTGTGACTCACAGCAAAGGAAGTGTTATTTTTTGTAGATTATATTGATGTTAATTTGACAATAAACTTTTTAAACTGACCAAGTTCAAGGTAGATATTGTATTTGTAAGCTACTCTTCTCAGCCAACTCCATTGTGAACTTTGTAAGGGTTTTATCATTTTCAAAAAACCTGTTCCTGACTGAGATGCAAGCTTTCCATAATTACATGTCACAGTGCAATTCTTACGCAACGGGCATGTGGTTTTCCAAATTTAGTACAAAGCATGTAGTTTTATCAGTGAGTTGAGATTTAGTCTTGTTCTCCTTTGATTCCATAAATGGTTGTTCCAACTTAAAAAGGGCCACCTAATTTACAACTATTCTCTACTTTTTTTTAAGAGTGAGTAATAACACAAATATTTGACATGCTGACAAGAGAACTTCAGCAACTTTCTCCCTGACATGAAATATGTCATTCAGAAGCCCCGTTTTTGTTTTTTTTGTTTTTTATCCCTAGACTTTGTAGAGGAGTCTAGAAACAAATTCTCAGAAATGTCTGCCTATGAACTTACAAGCGTTGACAAAACCCAAGTGATTTCTCTGGGAATGGAGGTTGGAAGGACCAATACCACAAATACTTATTTGTCCCAGAAACAGGAGGGCCATATTTTAAAATATTCCAATGGGACCCTAAAGTTAGACTTTACTGCATTGAAAATGGTATCATCCACTTGAAGATATTAACATAAATTCCATATTGAATCACACCTATAATCCATAATAACTTCCTTGGTAAAAGTATCTCAGATTAACAGATTGCATGCCCTTAAATAGCTGAAAATATAAATTATCAAAGACAACTTTTTGACTAGTTATGCTCAATATTTTCCCTCCGTAATTAACATAAAAGCATCTCAGCAACTCCCCCCTTTTAAAATCCATAGCTATCTTCACTAACCATATGCATTATTCTGGCTATTTATTTCTTCACTTCTGCCTGTAGTGACATACTGTTACATTAGCTAAGCCCATTAATTTGATTGTGCATTCTCACTTGGCTACTTTTTATTCGTATAAAACTATTAGGAAAGGCTTTTAAAGTTACTTTTTTTTTTTTTTTTTTTTTTTTTTTTTTTTTTTTTTTTTTTTTTTTTTTGCCTTGGGAAGATGGGGTGGGGTGGGGTATGACACAACCTGTCAAGTCTTAATATTCTGCCTCCAATATTCCCTAACTGTTGTAAAGGTTGTAGGTGCCAGGCAATCCCGCCAGGGAAAACTGAAATCTAATACTCCTATTAGGAACTCCCAACGAAAATAGGGCGCAGAAACTACCCCTGGGCAGCAGGGGAGCGGAAACGTGCTGCTCCTCTCGCCTAGGATATACGGTACAGGGGTGCAGGGGCTGGCCCTGGCTTGGTCCACCTGCCAGCGCAGTTTAAAGTTTCTGAGGCTCGCAGGAGCACAGTGACTTGGATCCAACAGCCTAAATGCCCAGGAGGCTATTTCTGCCGGACCCAGGAAGCCCTTAAACTCCTGCGGACCACCTCCTTGCCTGCGCCCCTGCACCCGCCCGCCCTCCTCTCTCGCTGACCAGAGACGATTTTCTGAGGATCCTCTGAAAGCTGGGGGATTTATGGCTGGAAAATGAAACGACGCTGCTGGAGGACGGCCACATCATTATTTTGGGTCGCGCGGGACCAGATGGGCAGCCGGTGAAGGGCGCGGGGACGTGATGGACAGTTTTATAACGTGATTTCCCCCCAAGAAAGCTGGAGCTGGGGCTTCGCTTCCCTCTATTTCCTCCCCGTCTGTAGCCCTTGCCTTCTCCCCGGGCTCTGCAATATCAATTAAACTCAACTTCGCAGCGGCGGGGCCGGCAGGGGAGAGGATGGATGGGGCTCTAGAACCTCGGTAAGAGCCGGGGGAGTGACGGCGACCAGACCGGGGACTGCGGCTGGGACCCCGCGCCCTGTGCAGCCTGCGGGGTGGGAGGACACGCGCCGGCGGTGGCTATGGGGCGGATGGAGCTCTGGACCCGCCGCGGATAGACAGACAGACAGACACCCCGGCGGCTGGAGGGGCCCTCTGACCTCGGGGCCCCGCTGAGAAGCCGCTGCCACCTCGCAGCCGCAGCCTTTCCCCGCCGTCATCCCCGCTCCTGAAAAGCCATGGAAGACGCCGCGGTGCCGGACCTCAGGGACATCGAGCTGAAGCTGGGGCGCAAAGTGCCCGAGAGCCTGGTGCGCTCGCTGCGCGGGGAGGAGCCGGCTCTCCCGGAGAGGACCGGGGACCCCTGCGGGGGGAGCGGCGGAGGCGGCTGTAGCAGCAGCAGCAGCAGCTGCTGCAGCCTCCCGCCCTCCCTGTCGTCCTCTTCTTCGTCCTCCCCAACCTCGGGCTCCCCGGGAAGACGCAGCCACTCCAGCACCCTGGAGAGGCTGGAGACCAAGCTGCACCTCCTCAGGCAAGAGATGGTGAGTGTGGGCATGGGGGCCTCCCCGAACCTGCCCCCAAAATGGGGAGATCGGAAATGGAAAGATAGGGCCTGGGAGAGAGGGTGGCCGGGGCTGCAGGGGTGGGCTCCGATGCGTGGGAAACGAGGGGGAGAGGAGCACACAGGGGGTGCAGGTCTGGAGGCAGCCGTTGCAAGGCTTGTTTACCCCGGACTTTGCTCGGTTCACGGTTCGCCCAGAGAGCAGAGCCTGCTCCGTCCTGTGTGCTTCCCGATCGCGAGGACCTGGTGCTCCCCGGCTCTGACCCTTTAGCGGCCGGAGCGCAGTCTCCCGGGCACCAGTGACCCCAAGGTTTGCGGTCAGGACAGCAGCATCTGGGGCCTGCTCCCAGCCATTCCCACTTTAGGTTCAATGAGGTGGCTCTGGCCGTTGCACTTTTATTAGGGAAACACTTCCGGGTTTGCCGAGAGGTGGCGCCGCTGGGTCCCCGCAACCGGCCCGCCTCGCTGGCTCCCTCCTCTCCCACCTCCGTGGCCTCCGCCCCTCCGTGCAGCTGCCGCTCCAAGGCCACTGCTGAGTGGCTTCTGCACAGCTGGCTCTCAAAACAATGGTCCACTCGTCCCGCCCTGGATGTTCTCATGAAGAGCCTGTTAACGCTGTTTTGATCCGAGAGAGCAGGTGATCTCCAGGCCCAAGGATCTGCTAATCACCACTTCCTACCCTGCCCCCTCCACCCTCAATCTGCAGTTGTGTTCCCTGCTGTTTGCAAATGCTACAGTTAGCCTGAGAAAGGGAGGGAGGGAGGAGTACTGGGACGAACACTCATTATTCTGGGTGGATTTAGATAAAGGCACTTGCCAGAAGCTCTTGTGCAAGTCACTTCTAGGTGGCCTCAGCTAATTTGTACAATGAAGTGATTGGAGGAAAGGATTCCTTCCCGAATATTTTGAGGAAAATGACAACAAATCAACAGCATTTTCTATCAGGTTTGGGAGAAGGAAAGTTGAAATGGCGGGGGGAAGGGGGGGCGGTGGCTTCTCAAGGGATGGTTGGAAGGATTTTCTACATAAATGATGCTATCCGCTGGAGCTTTGCATTAAAAAGAAGTCACCAGAGGTGTTTCCCTCCTCTTTCTGCAGTTGGAACACTCTGGAGGGAATGAATTCCACAGCCTAAAGTAATATTGGCAATCGTATGAACACAAAAAGCCAGTCTTCAATAAAAGTCCCATATTCAGAATTTTCACCGCATGAAGGCACCAGGAAATACTCTAAAAACCTCTCTCAAGTTCTTTAAAGCTATTCTGTATCTTGTATGTCTCAAGTATTCATTTTCTCCCTACATGGAATGCCCAGAGGTTTAAAAATATATAGCTATAGCCCTAGCCCCATGTCTCAGTTGGTTGGAGTATCCTCAGGTACACCAAGAGGTTGTAGGTTCAATTTCCTGTCAGGACACATACCTAGGTTTCGGGTTTGATCCCCAGTGGGGGCCCATTTGGAAGGCAATTGTTCTCCTCTCTCTTTCTCTGTCCTTCCCTCTCTCTTTAAAAAATAAATGAAATCAGTCCTAGTTAGTTTGGCTCAGTAGATAGAGCATCAACCTGTGGACTAAGGAGTCCCTGGTTGGATTCAAGTCAAGGGCACATGCCCCGTTGCAGGCTCAATCCCCAGTAGGAGGTGTGCAGGAGGCAGCCAATCAATAATTCTCATCACTGATGTTTCTATCTCTCTCTCTACCTCTCCCTTCCTCTCTGAAATCAATATAATAGATATTTAAAAATAAATAAATAAACATATCTTCAGGTGAGAAATATATATATTTCTCAGTGGAGACCTTTAATAGAGCACAAAATTGAGCACAAGTCATCTGCTCTGGCATGAATTCTCCTAAGTGCATAGATGCTTCACATAGAAATATAATGAATAGTCAGTTTAGCAATGTGCCTCTGCTGTTACTGTTTCTGAAATATATATATATATATGAGAGAGAGAGAGAGAGAGAGAGAGAGAGAGAGAGAGAGAGAGAGGTTATATATATTTGTTATATAGTTAATAGTCAGTTTAGCAATGTGCCTCTGCTGTTACTGTTACTGAAATATATATATATATATGAGAGAGAGAGAGAGAGAGAGAGAGAGAGAGAGAGAGAGAGAGAGGTTATATATATTTGTTATTCAACAAATATTTACTAAGCATTTATTATACCTGGTAATTTACTGGCTGCTGAAAATGCAAAATGAAAAAGTCAAGGAGACCTCTCTATTAAGGCTCTCCAATTTCTTGTACTCATTTGCCATTTATTATTTTTAGTATATCAAGTCAAATGTGAAAATGTGTTCTGTAACTCTATAGGGAAAAAACAAACAACAACAAAAAAACCAACACCCACATCTGGTTATTAACAACTAAAGACACTATTAAGGAGGAAAATTTCCTCTTATTCTTCTTGGTTCTTTGGCTGGTCTAACAAGTACCCTGACATAAGACAGATTAACAAGAGAAAAACAAATTTAATTTCACATGTACGGTAACCCCAATAAAATGTGAGACACAAGGTCAAGTTCGGCGGTTGAGGCTTATTTGCCTCTCTGAGAAAAGTAGTGGGATAGGGCCCTAGCGCTTCAAAGGGGAAAAAGGTATTCTCAGGCCAAGAAGAAGAGCAGATGTTTGGAAATTAGATGTTTGCTGGCTTACAGACCGGTTGTTCAGATAAAAGTTATCTCTGGTAATAGCTCTCTTTCTGAACCAGGCCCCCTATCTAAATTCTTTTAGGTAGTTAAGGGAGAAGTAACATTTTTTTCTCCAGCCTGCTGGGTCTTGATTGTCTTCAGCTCTAAATAATCTAAATTCCAAAGTGGTATATATAGAGGTCATGATTCTGTTCCTCTTCAACACTTTCTAGATATATCTGTTTCTCTTAATGAAAATATCATAGAGTTAATAAAAATCAGTTTCCCTAAACCAGATCTTGCTACATATAATGATTATGGTATATTAAGAAATAAACTTTAAAAAGCAAGTAGAAACAGTAACAGCAGAGGCACATTGCTAAACTGACTATTCATTATATTTCTATGTGAAGCATCTATGCACTTAGGAGAATTCATGCCAGAGCAGATGACTTGTGCTCAATTTTGTGCTCTATTAAAGGTCTCCACTGAGCACATGATAACACTGGCCATGAGACATGAGAGAGAAAGGACTGAAAACAGGTATATTCCCTGGCCAATGAGAGAGTTTCCCCCCAGTTTACATAACTCTTTGGTTGCTCAGCTTTAGCATAGTTGCAAAAGCAACAGATTTGTTTTCATGTAGACTTGGCAGTTTTCTTAAAAACACTGAACAGATGCAGTTCTTCCTATCTTCCCTAGTATCTCCATGTAAAGAAGTTGAGCTACAATCTCTTAATCATGATTTGTATGTCTTTGTCTATCCTCTACCATGAGCATTGAGTTAAAGTTCGACCCCATAGTTTATGCTCATTATTTTGAGTTGTTCACAGATTTTTCTTCTGGATAGTCTAGAATTATCAGGCTTTGATCTTGCCTTCATAACTCCTTCCTAAGAAATACCTTCGTCATGCACACTCCATTCTAGAGACTTCCAGGAATTAGCCTCCTACTTTTCCTATTAGAATGGATGTGTATACCATGGACACGATACAGTCTAGCCTTATAGGAAAGTAGTCTTAAGATTCTTTACATGCATACGACTTTATCATTGTCTCTCTCATCTCCTTTTATGCTTTTTTATGAATCATTTCTTTAACTCTTATTAGTTAATGTTATAATCCATGCTCATAGAGGCCTATGAAATGCATTGTAATAGAAGAAAGTTGAAAAAGATTGAAGAGGGGAGGAGAATCTGTTTCTGTGATCAATTTTCTTAATGTTGAAACTCTTATTAACAACATAAATAGCACCATACATAATAGAGATGTGGGAAGGAAAATATTGCAAAAAATTTTTTTCAGAAATATCAGGATGTTTGGGGGAGGGAGCAACTTTTCCCAATGTATAAAGTATTTTTATTTTTAATTTAAAGATGAGGACATTTGACGATACAATAAAAAAGAGCTACACATAAGAGATGTATGATAAAATTGGAAAGAGATTTCAGACCTCTTGTACAAATTATGCCCAATAATATTTGCTGACTACTTTTCAGTTCACAGAGTGTTTTAATATCTGTCATATCATTTGCGTCTAAGACGATACTGGGAGAGGAATTCTTTTCTTTCATAGTTTACAAATGTGACCACTGTGGCTAAGAGAAGGTTGAGAAAGCAGGCTAAGGTCACACAGCTAACTAGTGGACAGAATCACAACTTAACTTATATCATCTGAATCCATGTACTGTGTTTTTATGACCATTCTGGTCTTGTATCCCAATAATTTCCCTTCAAAATATAGTTTTATACATCTGTGATATCTTATCATCCCCTAAAGTACTAAGAGACCAATCAAAAGAATCCCTCAGGATGCATGTCTGGGGTTCAGACAGGGGTTCATTCAACAACCAACAAATATTTATTGAGTGCCTACTATGTACCAGGTCTGCCTCAAGTCCTTGAGAATATAGGACAAAATGCCTACCTTAAAAAGCCGATCATCCAAGGTCTGTTATATTTGAAATTTTCTTCCTACTCTCTATGCAAAGACTCATTTTTTTTTGGAGGGAGTGTATTGAGTATTATATATTAAATATATAATACTCAATACACTGTTATGAGTATTATATATTATACTTCTTTCAGTGCGTAAGAGATTCCTTTTGCAAAATTTTCTTAAGAGTGGGAATTTAAGCATTACTTATCAAATAGTATTACTCTAAGTTCTAGAATATCTCAGAATATCCAAATCTTTTCCAATAATTATAATGTCTATCAGAACCTGCATTTTACTTCTTAGTGATTAATTTTATATTGCACTTTTACAATACGCCTAAAGAGTTTTAGTGCTACTTCAATGCATCCATATCGTACATCTAGTTTGAGAGTGAAAATTATCTACATCAATT